AATATTAAAAAAAAAAAAAAAAAAAAAAATTATACTATATATAAAGTACAATTTTATTTAAAAATATATTATTTTTATTAATTATATATATATATGTATATATATGACTTTATGATTTTTATAATATTATATTCATTTTATATTATTATAAATTTATATAAATACATTGAATACTCTTATTAAAAAGTAATTCACTATATATAATGTTAAATATATAATATACAATAAGACATTTTATTTTTTATATTTTTTTTAATTTATTTTATCTGTTTACTTTTTTTTTTTTATTGTTATATTTATTTTAAATATAAACATTTAAAAGAAATAATATTTCAAACAATATATTTGTAATTAAATAGTTTTAAATGTTTCAAAAGTATTTATTTACGTAAAGAAAAACAGAAAAAAACAAAAAAAAAATATATATATAAATATATATACATTAATAAAACTTTGAAGATAATGTAAAGGAAAATGGTTTAAATAACAAAATTATAAAATTGTGTAAATTAAAAAGTATTAAAAAAAAAAAAAAATATACTTTATATTAGTAATTTGTAGAGAAAAATTATCTTTTTACTCTATCTTTAAATTTTTTTTTTTTTTTTTTTTTTTTTTTTTCGTCTATTTACACTTAAGTTTTAGATAAAATGAAAATTTTCTGATTAGCTACAAATTAATATTTAAATGTGTAAATATACTTATTTTTAAAAAAAATAAAATAATAAAAATATAAATATTTTAATTATCTGAACTCCCCTTTTTTTCTTCTTTAAAATATTAAATTTCATTTTTAACTATTTCATATAATTGTGATGTAAACAATCTTTTTTTTTTTTTTTTTTTTTTTAAATACCTTTTTATGACATTTTAAGTATTCATTTTCATTTAAGCCAAATATGAAATTTAGTATTGTACTTTATTTATTTATATAAGAAGAAAAACAAAATTTATATAGTTAAATTTTATAATTTATTAAAACAGTTTAACACGTTTATCATTTTTTTTTTTTTTTTTTTAAATGATATATTAGAAGTATCAATAATATTTTTAAGTAAAAACTAAATTTAAAAAAAAAAAGATTAATAATGAAGTTATGTTTTAAGCTTTCTTTTGAATTACAACTTTTCTAAAACTAAAAAAAATATATGATTACACTTTCTAATTTTACTATAATATTATTTTATCTTAAATTACCTTAACTCTTTTTATAGTTTTTTTTTATTTATTATTTTTTTATATTGTAAGGAATTGCAAAAAGGAAAAAATTTTTTTCTACAATACTAAGATATTTTGTAAAAGATAACCTCTTTATTAAAATAGATATTAATGTTTAGTATTATTACTTTATGCATAATTAGATTATATATATCATTGAAAAAAACAAATATATAATATGTGCTAATTGAAATATATTTAATTTTATTGTTTTAATTAAAAAACTAGCTATTTATTCTATTACTAATAATTGAAAGGAACATTATTATAAATAAATAAAAGAAACATTTAAAAAAAAAATAATAGAAATTTATTATTAGGAATCAAAATATTAATATATTTTAATAACTCCTATTTAGTAATTTTTTCTTTATTTTTTTTTTTATTTTGCTTAAATGCTTAAAATCCTTAATTAAAAAGACAATACAAATATGTATATATTTTTTTATTTATATAACAAAAGTGCTTAAAATAGTTACGAAATATATTAATTTGGATAAACTAAAAAGAGTTGTTCTTTGAAAAGTTATTTGTATTTTTGATTTTTTTTTTTCTTTCATTGATTTAATAGTTTCATTATGAATTAGTACTTTTAAAAAAAAAAAAAATGAAATGTAACTTTTCAAATTTTAAAAAATAATTGATTATACATATATACAAAATAAATAATTTATTACAAAACATATCATCTAAATAAGGAGAATAAATTTAAAATGTTTGAAATATTATACTATTTAAAATATTATAAAATAATCAACATAAATTTATAAAATAAATATATACCATGTATTAGTTTAAACAAAAATATAATTAAAACAAATTAAAATATTTGCTAAAAAAGCTTTTTTAAAATTATAAAGTAATTTAAAATTAAAAACAAAAAAATAATATAAAAAAATACAGTGAAAGTAGATACAAAGAAAAAATACATCAAATTATGAAAATAATATATATTTTAAATTTTATATATTAAAAGTAAGTTTTTTTTTGATGTTTCTTTTCTTTTATTTTTGATTCTTCTTCATATGTAGGCATATTATCTAAAACGATAGTGTCTTCTTCATATTTTGTTTCTTCCTCAATTTTATTCTTTTTAGTTTTTCTCTTTTTTGCTAGAATTTGCAGAGATCCATCGTCTAATTTATTTACAGAATTATATTCATTACTATCATATACTTCTGCTTTTCTATTTGGATATCTTGGTATTTTTTCATGAGGTTTCAATATTCCTTTTTTTATTAATCTTTTTCGTTCAATATCCATTTTGTGATAAAAATACAACTTCTTTGAAAATATTTTATTTTTCTTACTTAAACAATTTCTTCTTGGAGATATTTTCATTGCTTTCCTTCCTCCTTTTTTCTTGAATTTTTTTTTTTTCTTTATAATATCATAATAATTACTTTGTAATTTTAGCATTTTACTAACTTTTTTATTTAAATTTTGAAACATTATTTGTTTTTTATCAACTGTTCTTTCTAATATATCATTAACTAAACTTGCATTTTTTTTATTAAAAAAAGTTGTCAAAGAGTTATCTGTACTATTTGAATTAAAAGTGACTTTGCTTGATTTATAAATGTAATCATTTATATTATTACTAATATCATAGTTAATTATTTTGACATTTTCAAATTGCACTCCCCTGCTTAGTATATTTGTACATATTAAAATATTTGTTTTGTTTTTTTTAAATTCTCTATAATTCCTGGTTCTCTCTTTATAATTCATCTCATTATAAATATAGCTAACATTATATTTTAATTCTGTTAAAATATTTTTTAAATTTAAGACACTCCTTTTAGTATTACAAAATATTACGTATTTGTTTAAAAAGTGAGAATGATTAGAAACTTTATACTTATTTACTTCTTTACTATCAAGCATTTCAAGTAGTAAAGAAATTTTTTCTTTATTTTTACTATTAATAAAAATATGTTTAATATAATTGTTAATATTATGACTATTAATATTTATAATATGCTGAATGTATTTACTTTTTATATTATTATTTAAAAATTCACTAATTGCAACAGTTTTTGTAGGTGATACAAATATTGTTATGGGTATATTTGAATTCAATGTATTTTTTACATTTTCCTTAGTGTTAATTTGTTTTATATTTCCATTTTCATTATTATTAGCATTATTTTTAAAATAAAAATTTTCTAAGTTATTTATATATTCTTTATTTTTTTTTTCTGAATTATTTGCATTTTGATTTTCATTAGAATTTTTAAAATTACTTACTATATTACCACTATTATTCGATATTTCTTCACTCTTCATACTTTTATTATATTCTTTGTTCATTTCATTACAATTATCTACGATTTCATTTTGATTACTATTATTATCCATTTCTTCTAAATATATGTCGCTCTCATTTTGTCTCAAAATATTTTCATTTATATTTTTTTTTTTATTTAAATTATTATTTTCCAAATTTTTTATTTCATCATTTTTTATTTCATCATTTTTTATTTCATCATTTTCTATTTCATTTTGTTTCATTTTTTTAATTTTTTCTTGATTATCAAAATTGAATTTTTCAAACATAATATCAGTATTAGACACATCTCCTTGAAAATAATACATATTTGTATAATTTTTTATATGATTAAATATTAGTTGCAATTTTTTTTCATTAAACACATTACATAAGGTTTCAGCTTCTTCTATAACAACATATTTTAAAAATTTAAAATTATATAAATGTTTGTTTTTATAATTTTCTACTTTTTCAAAAATTTTATCAGGAGTTCCTATTAAAATATCAATATTATAATTTATAATATTTTTACTATTATTTTTATTTCTTTTTATTTTTTTTAAGAGATCATAATTATTTAAAAATTCGCTATTTCTTGCACTCCTATCATCTATCTCTTCTGAATTCAAATTATTATTATTACCTAAAACTAGACCCATATGATGTTTTTTAATTGACTTTTTTTTATTTAAATAACCTCCACTTAATAATTCAATATTAATATCAAATTTTTTCAAAAAAGAAAAAAGTTCAAAAGCTGATTCTCTTGTGTTAGTTAAAATTATAGCATAAGGGAAAAAAATATTTTTTTTATGTTTCAAACAGTTCAGTATATTATTTTTTTTATTTTTAAAATAATTATTAATATTGTAATTATTATATTTTCTTATATTTATATATCTATTATTTATTTTATATTTTTCATATGTTATACCAAAAAACATATTTTCTTTATTTTTAAGAAATCTTAATCTTTCTTTTTTACGAAAAATCTTATTTTTAAATTTCTTATAATTATTTTTGTTTAAAAAATTATAAAAGTTCGATAAATTTTTCATTATTTTTTCATTATTCAAATAAAAATTATGAAGAATTGGAAGAAAATAGCTTAATGTTTTTCCACTATTATCAGGACTAATAATAAGATATACATCATTAAAACATTTTTTTTCATCAATATAATCCTCCTCTTTTTTTGTATCTTCATATTCTGATGCACTGTTATCAAGAAATTTATATTTATTAACATCATAAAAATTCTTTTTAATATTTAAATCATTTTTTAAATACTCATTTATATTTATTTTATTCTTTAGTATATCATTGTATATATTTTTATTTTTATATGTTATTATTTTATTTTCTTCGGAGCTACATTTATTTTTGAAATTTAATAATAATGGTATCACACACTTTTGAATTTGTGTAGGATTAATAATTTTTAATTCATTCAATTTTAAATATATATCTGTTTTAAAACTATATTCTAAAAAACTCGTTTTATGTAATTCTTCTTTTAAACTCTTTTTATCTTTTTTTTTCCTTTGTTCATTTTCATTATCTTTATTTTTTGCATTACTTAATAACTTATTTTTATGCAAATCGTTTAAATAATTTTCATAATGGTCATTTTCTTTTGTTTCACTTATATTTCTATTAAGCAATTTCTCTTCATTTTTTATTATCGTGTTGCTATAAAATCTACTCTTTAAGTTGCTACAAAAAACTGTTTTTTTTTTATTCACAAAAATGTGAAAATTAAAAATTTTTCTCATCTTTTTATAGATGTTTTCATTATTTATTATAGATTATGTTTAAAAGCATATTTTATAAATAAAAAAAAAAAAAAATATATATATATATAAAATTAAGATATATTTTTAATAATGTTAATTTTTTAATAAATATAGAATACTCATTTCCACTTTTTTTTTTTTTTTTTTTTTTTTT